GAGGACCAGGGACAGGTGATCTGGACCACAACCTTCCTCCTCTGCGAGCCTCTGTTTCCTCATGTGTAGCACGGAGACGGAAATGCCTAAAATACGTTCTTGTGAGAAGCGAAAAAACCCAACAACGCATGCACGCGAGTGTCCTCTAAGGGGTTATGTCATATGTCCAAATTCATCTAACTGTGTACATTAGAGGAGAGGGTGTTTTCGGATAAAACCATAGCTAAATCGTGCTGCTAAAAGGTAAATAAAATAAACAATAAAACTTGCATCGAACAATAACAACAGAGCCATGAGGCTAAGGCAGGAAATCTGAAGGAGAGATCATGCCACTGCACCCCAGCCTGGGTGACAGAGCAAGACTCCATCTCAAAATGATACATCCATACGTACCTAAATGGAGTCACAGTTAATACATTCACAGTAGTATCCAAAATAATAAATGTAAGAATTAAAACTAGCAAAAGTGTCATCTTGCAAAGCAGTAGCATAATATGAAAAAACCTCACTGACCACAACCCTCCTCATTCTTAGGAAAGGAATCATGGTCATAGTGGTTGGCCTGTGGCCGTATAATTCCATCCCAATATCCCCGAATGGCAAGTGTGGAAACATTAGAATGAATTCCATTAAAAAGGAGAAAACAAGAAGAAATAAAGTCACAACGCTAAAGTGTTTTGCTTTTCCTTTAGGCGGAATCTCACTCTGTTGTCCAGGCTGGAGCTCAGTGGCACAATCCGGGCTCACTGCAACCTCCGCCTCCCAGGTTCAAGTGATTCTCCTGCCTCAGCCTCCCAAGTAGCTGGGACTACAGGCACATGCCACCATGCCCAGCTAATTTTTTATATCTTTAGTAGAGACGGGGGGAGGGGTGGTTTCACCAAATTGACCATGCTGGTCTCAAACTCCTCACCTCAAATGATCAGCCTACCTCGGCCTCCCAAAGCGCTGTGATTACAGGCGTGAGCCACTGCGCCTGGCCTATTTGTTAGTATTTGATAATACTTATGCTGTCACATATCAATTTATGCTGAAAAGTACACTTAACATAAGATCTATCTTCTCAGCAAATCTGTAAGGCATTGTTACCTGCAGGCGCTGCGCCAGAGACGCTGGGCGGTCCTAACCTTGAACGACTGAAACTCGGGAGGGACAATGAGGTGTCAGTCACAGGAAAGAGATCTTGGTACCTTGCCTGTTCCTTCTAAGCCAATACTCTCAGCTCCTTAGAGGTGGCACTTTTATTTCATTTTGTTTTTTCCCCTCACGTATAATTTTTTTTTCCAGTTATAAGGCTAACACGTACTGAATTTAAAAATTGAAATAAAAACACCTCAAAAAATGAAGAGCTATTTAACCCCTCCATTACCTAATATTAATTGCTACAAACATCTTGGTTAATATTTTCCTACAAATCTCTATTTCCATAAATGTGTATGTAAATATGCAAATATAATTTGATGTCTATATACATGGTTTATTCCTGTTTTGTTCACTTGATGAAATCCTTGACATCTTCCATGTCAGTAAAAGTTAAACAACAACATCATTTCTTTTTACATTTTTTTTTTTGAGAGAGTCTTGCTCTGTCACCCAGGCTGGAGTGCAGTGGTGCGATCTTGGCTCACTGCAACCTCCGTCTCCCTGGTTCAAGTGATTCTCCTGCCTCAGCCTCCTGAGTAGCTGAGAATACAGGTGCATACCACCATGCCTGGCTAATTTTTATATTTTTAGTAGAGGTGGGGTTTCACCATGTTGGTCAGGCTGGGCTTGAACTCCTGACCTTGTGATCCACCCGCCTCAGCCTCCCAAAGTGCTGTAATTACAGGCATGAGTCACTGCGACTGGCCACATCATCATTATTTTTAATAACCACGCAGAATTCCACTGCATTGGGGGACCATTGTTTATTTAATGTCTAAGTGCCCATTAAGTGAAGAGCAATATGTTTCTAATTAACTGCTCTTCATTCTACAAGTGTTTACTGAGCATCTATTATGTGCCAGGCCCTAAGTACCAGTGACAGGGTGATGATCAAGACAGGTGAGGTCCCTGGCCAGTGAAGTCTCCATTCTAATGTGGGGAGAGGGACAGCGTACAAGTCAATGAGTGGATAATTGGAAAGGAGGATAAACGTCAAGAGGGAATGAAGACAAACCTTGCTAGCGAAGGGATGGGGGTCAGGGGAGTGCACTTATTTCAACAGAGTGGCCTGGGAAGGCCCTTCTTGCTGAGATGATGCTGAGCAGAGACCTGGAGGCTGTGATGCAAAGCAGGATGTCAGCACATCCAGGTGGAGATGCGGTTCCCTGAGGCAGGGAGGGAGCTGGAATCTTCAGGGAACAGCAGGAATGTCACGTGGCCTGAGGGCAGAGAGGGAGGGGTGCATGGACCAACATGAAATTGGAGAGGTGAGTGTCCCGTAGGTCACAGAGCTTGGGTTTTGCGCCGAGTGCACCGTGAAGTCACTGGAGATTTTGGTGGTAACAAAACATAACCCAATTTATGCTTTTAAAAGGTCACAGCGTGGAGAAGTGCAGCTGAGTAGCAAGAAATGAGTGTGGAGAGACCAGTGGGGGGATGTCCCTGGAAAAGGGGAGACAGGGTGGATCTGGCTCCGTGGTGCTGGCACACCGTGTCTGTGTAAGGACAGACTCTGAAGCTAGGACAAGGGGAGAGGGTGAGAAAGAGGAGCTGTTGAGGTCATTTCTAGCTCTGCAGCTTGTCCAGGTGGGTCGACGGGGAAGGAAACGTGGGAGAACCACAATTTTAATTTTCTCATGTTAATCCTTCGGTGTTTGTTTCTGAGTGAATATAAGTCAATATGAATGTATATTCCGATTCCTCCAATTCTTGGCACAATGCAGACGCCATCTGATGTCCTTTAATCCCTAAGAATGCATTCTGGGATCTCTCCATAGGAGTTCATAGGCTATGTTCTCTCTCTCCCTCCCTCCCTCCCTCCCTCCCTCTCTCTCTCTGTCTCTCTCTCTCTGTCTCTCTCTCTTTCTCTTTCTTTTCTTTCTCCCTTTCTTCCTTTTGTGACAAGTTTCACTCCGTTATCCAGGCTAAAGTGCAGTGGCGTGATCTCAGCTCACTGCAACCTTCACCCCCCAGGTTGAAGCAATTCTGCTCAGTGTCCCGAGCTGAGATTACAGGCACCTGCCACCACGTCTGGCTAATTTTTTCTTTGTATTTTTAGTAGAGACAGGGTTTCACCATGTTGGCCAGGCTGGTCTGGACCTCTTGGCCTCAGTTGATCCGCCCGCATCTGCCTCCCAACGTGCTGGGATTACAGGCGGGAACAGTGCCCGGCCCATGCGCTGTTTTCAAATCTATTTCTCCCTCGTCTTCTAACTTCCAGAGTGATTGATGAGAAGTCGATGCAATGCTGATAATGGAAACGCAGTACACAATTGTCTTTTTTCTCTCACCTGCACAGTCTTCTTGATTTTCTTTTTCCTTTCGGATAATGCAGCTTGCCGCGTGCCGTGGCCCCCGAGTGAGACGCTGCTTCAGTTTCCCTGCTGGCTGGGCTGGCTTCCTCCTCGCTGCCATTTACTTCTTATTTTCACTCTGTGAAATAAGTGATGAATTTCCCGCACTTCATAGTTTCTAAAAAAGAAAAAAAGTTTTTTTCTAAAAAAATTTCTTAAAAAAAGTGTGCTTAAAACTATACATATTTCACTCTACATGTGATTTTTATTGCGCCTAAGTTTTGATATAACATTCTGTTCATTTCTAACTTCATTTCTAATTTCCTTGAACAGCTTCTGTGTTTTTTTTAACTGTCACTCACAAGTTATGCAGATTGCACTGCTGCGCTCCAGCCTGGGCTACAGAGTGAGCCTCCCTTTCAAAAAATAAAAAATAAACTTAGTTTAAGGTGACAGAGCTTATAAATAGCGATGTGACCTCTGGAATTGTACTCGGTAATCCTGCACTGGTGACTCTCCTCATATTCCTAGATGCTGTTTGTGTCTATGCATTCATCATTCACTCTAAAATAGTTCTTATTTATTTATTTATTCCCATTTTAGGTTTTGGGGTACATGTGAAGAACATGCAAGATTGTTGCATAGGTGCACACGTGGCAGTGTGATTTGCTGCCTTCCTCCCCGTCACCTACATCTGGCATCTCTCCCCTTGCTATCTCTCCCCAGCTCCCCACCCCCCACCGTCCCTCCCCTATTTCCCCCCAACTGACCCCAGTGTGTAGTGCTCCCCTCCCTGTGTCCATGTGTTCTCATTGTTCAACACCCGCCTATGAGTGAGAACATGCGGTGTTTGATCTTCTGCTCTTCTGTCAGTTTGCTGAGAGTGATGGTTTCCAGGTTCATGTGCTAGGTGCCAGGGTGTGTTCTGGGTGCGGGACACTACAGGAAACAGTGCAGAAAAACGTCTGTGGCTTCATGGGGATCGACTGTAGTGGGGAGGCAGGTAGAAAACAATGTATATATATATATATATTCTTTTTTTTTTGCGACAGCGTTTCACTTGTTTCCCAGGCTGGAGGGCGGTGGTGGAATCTTTGCTCACTGCAACCTCCGCCTCCTGGGTTCAAGCCATTCTCCTGTCTCAGCCTCCCCAGTAGCTGGGATTACAGGTGTGCACCACCACGCTCAGCTAATTTCATATCTTTAGTAGAGATGGGGTTTCAGCACGTTGGCCAGGCTGGTCTCGAACTCCTGACCTCAGGTGATCCACCTGCCTCGACCTCCCAAAGTGCTGGGATTACAGGTGTGAGCCACCATGCCCGGCCAGTATACAATATTAATAAGTAAAATATGTGCACATATGCTGAGGGCTAGTGAGATATGCTGAAGAAAGAAAAAAGGGAGCAAGAGGTGATGTGAAATCTGGAGGGAGTGTTTCAACATCGGACAGGGTGGTCTAAGAAGGTCTGATGCATTAGGGGATATTGGGGTCGACAGTGAAGGACGGCGGGGTGAGCCTTGTGCCTCTCTGGGTGAAGAGTATTCCAGTACTGAGAAAAACAGAGGCAAAGATTTTTATGCCAATCATGGGAGTGTAAATTGATGTAATAACTTTGGAGAATCATTTCAGGTGGAGAATGGCATGTGTGAAAGACCCGAGGCAGATGCGTGCGTGGTGTATTTCAGGAATAGCAAGGATGCCACTGGGACTGGATGGCAGTCAGTGAAGGGCAGAGTCGGAGGAGGTGCTGTCAGGGCACTCGGCTCAGCTGGGGGAGAGAAGATGCAGTCGTGTCAACATCACGGAGAAGGGAAGTCCTGGCATGATTTTGAGCAGAAGAGTGGCGCACGGTGGCAAATGTTTTTATTGTATTGTTATTTCACCACCCACTTGTATTTTATTCTCAGCATATGTTATTTTATGAAATTGGATTTGCATTTTGGAGGGAGAGTCTGATTTTTGTGAAGGCATGCATGTGGTATGCCGGTGACGACATTACCAGCATTCCGGGTAAGCAGCCCTCAGCCCTGTCTCCGGGCCCTCTTGATGCAAGATGCTAATCAAATTAATTAACTTCCGGAGCCTCAGTGTTCTTATCTGTAAAATGGGACTCATGATGAAAACATCTTCCCAAAGTTGTGAGAATTAAAGAAATGACCCATACAGGGGACTCAGAGCACTGCCTGGCATAGAGTAAGGGCTCAGAAAACATTACCTCTTACTTTTACAGCTTTGTGCAAGTCTGACTTCAGGAAGTGGCCTTACAGATACATTTTAGACAAAAATATGACGACGCCACACTTATGTTCAGAACCCTTCCCACTCTCTCAAGGGTAAAATACCAAAACTCTACCTGGCCTTTTAGACACTCCTGCTCAAGCAATGCACATACTCCTCCTTATTATTTTTCCATCTGAAGTCCACTTAACTTACAACAGGAAAAATCATCTCCTGATTGGGGTTTCACAGAAACTTTCTCCTCCGTCCCTGCCTCACACAGCCCCCCATGCTGCGTTTCCTGTTGCCAGCTCTTCGGTTCTCAGCCCCTGACTACACCCCACAGTGCTCAGTGGGGCTGGCTCTCAGGGTCAAGGCCCCTTTTCTTATTTATTTACCTATTTATTTATTTATTTATTTATTTATTTATTTATTTGAGACAGAGTTTCACTCTTGTTACCCAGGCTGGAGTGCAATGGCGCGATGTCGGCTCACCGCAACCTCCGCCTCCTGGGTTCAGGCAATTCTCCTGCCTCAACCTCCTCAGTAGCTGGGATTACAGGCACGCACCACCATGCCCAGCTAATGTTTTTGTATTTTTAGTAGAGACGGGGTTTCACCATGTTGACCAGGATGGTCTCGATCTCTTGACCTCGTGATCCACCCGCCTCGGCCTCCCAAAGTGCTGGGATTACAGGCTTGAGCCACCACGCCCGGTCTTTATTTATTTATTTAGAGATGATGTCTCACTCTGTCACCCAGGCTGGAGTGCAGTGGCACAATCTTGGCTTACTGCAACCTCTGCCTCCCGGGTTCAAGCGATTCTCTTGCCTCAGCCTCCCAAATAGCTGGGATTACAGACCCTGATACCACGCTCAGCTCTTTTTGTATTTTTAGCAGACACGGGGTTTCTCCATGTCGGCCAGGCTGGTCTGGAACTCCTGACCTCTGGTGATCTGCCTGCCTCAGCCTTCCAAAGTGCAGAGCTCTGTGAGGACCAGGGCTTAGCTTGAGTCCCCCAGTCTTTCCACGAGGTCCAAGCTTGAGATCATTACGGCGACCACATCTCAGAAGAAAGACTGGTCAGCAACGCAGTGACCATACTGGAATATTTTTGAAATATTTGAACTATTCTAATGCAAACTCTTCATGACATTTCACGTTGCATCTTAGGTCATTTTATTCATGTAGGTGTTGTGTTTCCACCTGACATTTAATTGGTATGTAATTTGTTTTTTTTTTTTTTTTTTTCAAATATTATGTATGTATCTGAATCTAGTGTGAGAATTGTTACTCCATGCCTGTGCATCCCAAGTCACGCTTTTGAGTGAGGAAGCTGTTCCAGGCTGGACCTCCGTTTTTGAGCGAGGAAGTTGTGTCAGCCTGGATCTCTGCTTTTCAGTGTGGAAGCTGTGCCAGGCTGGACCTCTGTTTTGAGTGAGGAAGCTGTGCCAGGCTGGACCTCTGTTTTTGGGCAAGGAAGCTGTGCCAGGCTGTATCTCTGTTACTGATTGAGGAAGTTGTGCCAGCCTGGATCTCTGTTACTGAGTGAGGGAGCTGTGCCAGGCTGGATCTCTGCTTTTCAGTGTGGAAGCTGTGCCAGGCTGGATCTCTGTTACTGAGTGAGGAAGCTGTGCCAGGCTGGACCTCTGTTTTCGGGCGAGGAAGCTGTGCCAGGCTGAATCTGTAGCACACCTTGGACCTAAACCTTCTTCAGCTGGGATCAAAGTCTTAGAGGAATGCAAAGGTGAAGGGCCCCCCTGAGAATATGGAGCCGTGACATAACTGTATCACCCTTTATGGAAAAACCCTGAATAACTGCCATGTGTTCCATGACCTTTGATGTCGATTCTGTCAGCACGAGGAATCTTTTGAGTATTGATGAAGATCTTGGATATGTTGGTGGTTTCACAGCTGTCAGAATTCACCTAATTGCACAGATTAAATGGATGCAGTTAGTTTGCAAATTAATCCTTGATAACGCTGATTAAAAATCCCTAATGGGCCGGGCGCGGTGGCTCAAGCCTGTAATCCCAGCACTTTGGGAGGCCGAGGTGGGTGGATCACGAGGTCAAGATATCGAGACCATCCTGGTCAACATGGTGAAACCCCGTCTCTACTAAAAATACAAAACATTAGCTGGGCATGGTGGTGTGTGCCTGTAATCCCAGCTGCTGAGGAGGTTGAGGCAGGAGAATTGCCTGAACCCAGGAGGCGGAGGTTGCAGTGAGCCGAGATTGTGCCATTGCACTCCAGCCTGGGCAACAAGAGTGAAACTCTGTCTCAAAAAAAAAAAAAAAAAAAAAAATCCCTAATGAAGACCTAAAACAAAAAGAGGCAGGGTGGAGAACCTAATGCACAGAAGCCATTCCGTAAGAGAAAGGAGAGCTCAGGAGCGGGAAAGTCATTCTCAGGAGCGACTTTGTTTTGGCCTCCTGTTGAATGTTAAGTTTCAAAACAAATGTAGTATCCCTTGCAACCTTGAGAAGTTGGAGAGTGATTTTAATTCATTCTTATGATGAGGTGGAAGCTTCTGGAATCTGTACCCCTGCACTTTATCCTTCTGCCCCGTGATCTACATAACCATGAAAATAAAGTTCAGTTATTCATAGTCATATAATCATCAAAGTGAGAACCAGGTTCAGTATTCAGCTCGAGTCTGGGGATTCCATCTTTCCTTAATTTTTGACGGTATAACCTTCACTTAGCTTAAGGAATTAAAAAATCTTTAATATATGGAAGCAGCTTTAGATTGTCTTCTTTAGATGGATTGCTGTCCCATGAACTTAGTCTAACATATTCACAGAAGATGGGTTAGGTTGGAAGGACGTATCAGAACTGCAGTGTGCAGAACTCTGGGAGACCAGGCTTAGCTTCGTTCCCCTGTCTGTCCACGAGATCCAAGCTTGAGATCATGACAGCCATCACGTCTCGGGAGGGGGACTGGTCAGCAATGCAGTGGTCATGCTGGAATGTTTCAATGTTTTTGAAATATTTTCACTATTTTGATGCTAAAAACTTTTTTTTTTTTTTTTTTGAGATGAAGTCTCTGTTGCGCAGGCTTTTTATGTAACCCACCGTTATCAAGAGATGGATACGGTTCCCAGGAGCACTGTCCTATTCTGCTTTAAGTATGATTGGTCATATCTGGTCATGTGCCCTGCTCTGAATCAAACACTGAAAGTGGATTGCTAAAATTGCCTTCATCTAAACTCCATTTCCCTCCCACTGGCTCCCTGGGCTTGGAGCATCAAACAGAAATGGCTTTCTGTGAGTCAGGAAGAAGTGAGCACAGCTGCTGTGCAGACCCTCGTCAATGTCTGCTGCAGTCACACCTGGAGACGAGCTCCCCAGGGTCCTCAGAAGCAGTGGAGATGAGAATCCATGATGGGAGGGGGGTGCTGCCCTGCTCAGCTGCGTGATGCAAAAATGCACTGCTGGTCCGGGTCCTGCTTCTCATTCCAGCACCCAGCTGGGTGCCCATCTGGCCCCACACCTCAACGCCAGGTTCTGAGCACAGTCTCCTGACCGTTCAACCCCTTCAGGATTTGGCATGCGCAGTTGGACCACCCCACCCCCACTGGAGCCAAATGACACTGAGGGATGAGGGGAAGATAACTCACGTTAGTAGAGAGAGAGAGAGAGTGTGTGTTTGTTATATAATATATATCATAACAATTAAAATTGTTAATTGGGCTGGGAGTGGTGATTCATGCCTGTAATCCCAGCACTTTGGGAGGCCAAGGCGGGTGAATCATTTGAGGTCAGGAGTTTGAGACCATCCTGGCCAACATAGTGAAACCTCGTTTCTACTAAAATATAAAAATTAGCCAGGCATGGTGGTGTGTGCCTGTAATCCCAGCTACTCTGGAGGCTGAGGCAGGAGAATTGCTTGAGCCCAGGAGGCGGAGGTTGCAGTGACCTGAGATCATGGCACTGCACTCCAGCCTGGAGACAGAACGAGAGTCCCTCTCTGAAAAAAAAAAAATTGTGAACTGTTTATATATAATTATAATAGTTTATAGATATTAACAACTATATATGAACTTGTATATATAATTAATAGCATTCTATATTAACAATTGCATATATAAAAATATAATTTGTTATATATAAACAAATTATATATAAACTATTATATAAAATTAGTGTATATAAAACATAAACAACTTAAAGTAATAATATAACATATTATGATTATGTGTAATAATTATTTTTATATAATATTTGCTATTATATATCATTCTTAGAGCACTTAACAGGAGCTCTGTCCTCTTAACAAATTTCAAGTGAACGAGACGTTATTGTTGGCCATAGGTCGTGTGCTGGATGGCAGAGGGCCTGTGTTAGTAACACCCTGTTTCCCTCTCCTCCCAGCCCCGGGAACCACCATTCCCTGCTGTGAAGACCTCACGTAGGTCACATCATGCAGTCCCTGACCTGCATCTGGCTCACTTGGTGTGGTGTCCTCAGAGTCTGTCCGTGTTGTTGCCCATGGCAGAACTTTCTTCCTACGTAAAGTGAATAGTATCCCCCTGTGTGTGTGCATTTTCTTCTTCATTCATCTATAGTGGGCATTTAGATTATTTTCGAGTCTTAGCGATTGTGGATGGTGCTGCAATGATCAGGGAGTTTAGACGACTGTCTGACATACTGAGTTTGCTGCTTTTAAATATCTACCCAGAAGGGGGGTTGCTGGATCATATGGTAGCTCTATTTTTAATTTTTTGAGGAAACTCTCCTGTTTCCTATAGCGAGTGCACAACTTTTCAGCCTCTGAGTGTTGGGATGTCCAACATGAGCCACCGTGCCCCGCGCATTGTTGGTATTTTTGACGTGTGAAGTACCTTGCTGGAGGCAAGGCACGGTGGCTCATGCCTGTAATCCCAGCACTTTGGGAGGCCGAGGTGGGTGGATCACGAGGTCAAGAGATCGAGGGCATCCTGGTCAACATGCTGAAACCTCGTCTCTACTAAAAATATAAAAATTAGCTGGGCGTGGTGGTGCACGCCTGTAATCCCAGCTACTTGGGAGACTGAGGCAGGAGAATTGCTTGAACCCGGGAGGCAGAGGTTGCAGTGAGCCGAGATCGGCCATTGCACTCCAGCCTGGGTAACAAGAGCGAAATAATGTGTCAAAAAAAAAACAAAAACAAAAAAACCACCTTGTTGGGATTTCAGCAAAAATCACGATATTAAAAACTTGGGGAAGGGCTTATATGGCCCCCGTTTCAAATACGAGGCAACGTCAACCCCTGGTTTTGTAACGTGTTGCCCAGGAGCATGGGCTGTTGACTTGTGGAGTTGGGATGACGTCCCAGCCAGTTTGTTGTGTGACCTTTATTCTGCCTTGTCCCAGAGATTTAGAAAAAGTACACATCAGATAAGTAGTTTAACGTCACCTGTCTGTGAGTAAGCGACATTTTTTCAGAAACCACGGCCCTCCCTCCCGTCTCACTCGTGAGAAGTGTGAAAAGAACAGAATAAAAAGCTCTTCCTCTTGTGTGAGGCTGCTGTGGTGGGAACCCCACGGGCAGGAGGCGCCCGGCCAGCACATCCCGCCCGCTGGCATTTGCTGCAGAGTCTGGGACCGGGGTCATGTCTCCCCATCCCACCACCCTCCTGGGCCTAGGTGAGTCCTGGAGGCAGCGGGGAGGGCTGGAAAGTTCCCTGCTCAAGCCTGACTCCAGTCCTGAGGATTCTGGGGGGGGACGTCTCCTCCTCTCCCAAGACTGCCCTGCTGCTCTGCCCAGGGCCTAAGTCTGACCAGAGAAGACCTTGTCCTAAAAGCAGGGGCCTGGGTGTGGGGATGAGGTCAGCTGTAAGAGGGACTAGGGTGCCGGGCGCAGTGGCTGACGCCTGTAATCCCAGCACTTTGGGAGCCGAGGAGGGTGTATCACCTGAGGTCAGGAGTTTGAGACCAGCCACGCCAACGTGGTAAAACCCCGTCTCTACAAATACAAAAATAGCCGGGCGTGGTGGCTCACGCCTGTCATCCCAGCTACTCGGGAGGCTGAGGCAGGAAAATTGCTTGAACCCAGGAGGCGGAGGTTGCGGTGAGCCGAGATCGTGCCACTGCACTCCAGCCTGGGACACAAGAGCGAAACTCCATCTCCAAAAAATAAAAAACGGCTTGGGGAGCAGGTACCTTTTTGGAAGAGGAGACTTTGGGATTTATCTTGAAACCATTTTGCAGCAAGAAGGATTATACTCAGACAGTGATGTGGAGGAGGGGTGGTTTGGTCGTTAGGAAATGCTGAATGCCCCCAGCTGCATGGAGCCCCCTTTTGATAGCAGCCCCGTATGAGGACTGGGTGGTGGGCACTTCTCTCACCGCGGCTTCTCTTCCAGTGCTCTGCCTGGCCCAGACGATCCACACGCAGGAGGGTGAGTCCCATCTTCATCCCGTCTCCCCAGGCCCCTCTGTACCCCAAGGGCAGTTCTGGGTGGGAGTGATGTTGATTCTCAGAGGGCCTGGAGGGATCCCCTGAAATGTACCCTAGAGTGCAAATGATTCCAAATGTGAAATGCACAGCCCTCACCCCTTTCTCTCCTTCATTCTCCACCTGTCATATTTTGCTTTTCTTATTTTTAACTAACAAATCTTATTTTTAATTGACAAATAATTATGTATGTTTGTGGGGTACAATGTGATGTTACAATGTATGTAAACATTGTGGAAAGATTAAATAAGGCTAACATACCAATCATATCACATACCTATTGTGATGATAACATTTAAAATATACTTTTAGCAATTTTGACACATGTAAGTTATTATTAACTACAGTCAGCCTGCTGTGCCATAGATCTCAAAACTTACTCTTCCTGCCTAATAGAAACTTTGTATCATTTGATCAGGGTCTCTCCCAAGCTCCTGACCTCCAGCCTCTAATACCATTATTCTACTCTCTACTTCTGTGAGATGACTTGCTTTTTGAGATGGAGTTTCACTCTTGTTGCCCAGGCTGGAGTGCAGTGGCGCAATCTCAGCTCGCTGCAACCTCTGCCTCCCAGGTTCAAGCGATTCTCCTGCCTCAGCCTCCCGAATGACTGGGATTACAGGCATGCGCCACTACGCCCGGCAATTTTTGTATTTTTAGTAGAGACAGGGTTTCACTATGTGGGCCAGGCTGGTCTCAAACTCCTGACCTCAGATGATTCACCCACCTTGGCCTCCCAAAGTGCTGGGATTACAGGTGTGAATCACTGCGCCCGGCCGAGATGAACTTTATTTTAGATTCCACATGTGGCGTTTGTCTTTCTGTGCCTGGCTTATTTCACTTAGGGTAATATCCTCCAGTTCATCCATGTTGTTGGAATGACAGAACGTGCTTCTTTTTTTAGGGCTGAATAATATTCCACTGCATATGCACACCACATTTTCCTTATCCGTTCATTTGTGGGTGGACGCTCATGTTATTTCCACGTCTTGGCTGCTGTGGGTCGTGCTGCAGTCATCACGGGTGTGCAGGTGTCACTTCCACACACCGATTTCCACAATGATGGGTCAAATCCAACATGACCAAGGCTGAGCCCGGGAGCTTTCCCCAGATGAGCCCACACTTCCCACGGCAGCTGCTTGGTGGGGAATATGACAGTCACCAAGGGCAGACTCTGAAGATTCATCCTCTTCTCCGTCCTCCTAGATGCATCCTGTCACCCAGTGCTGGTGATTTCACTCTAAATTTTTCTCATCTTTCCCTCTCTTCCTTTACTTTTCCTGCGTCTCCCCCAAGTGACCGCACGTCCCCCCTCCACGGCTCCCTGAGGCTGGCCTCAGCCTGTCCATGCCCCGGCTGCCCGCTCCCTTCCTGACGCCAGGGACATGTGATTTGCGAAAGCACAAATGTGCTGTCCACAATTTTTAAACTGTATTTAAACATTTCCATTTCATATCTCATTGTAAGATGAAATATCATTTTTCCCTCAGAGCCCTTCCTGTTTATCTTCAGGTAGAATCAGACCCATGCCCCTCCCTTTGGTCTGGACATGCCGATTTTCCCAGCCACATCCTGTCCCCGTGACTTCAGGCTCACTCATCTCTGCATTCCTGCAGCTTCTTTTGCTTTCTCAAACACTCCATGTTCTGTTCAATATTGGGCTGTCTCATATGCTGATTTTTTTTTTTTGAGATGGAGTTTTGTTCTTGTTGCCCAGGCTGGAGAGCAATGGCACAGTCTTGGCTCACTGCAACTTCTGCCTCCCAGATTGAAGCAATTCTCGCTGCCTCAACCTCCCGAGTAGCTGGGATTACAGGCGACCACCACCCTGCCTGGATAATTTTTTTTTGTAATTTTAATAGAGACGGGGATTCACCATGTTGGTCAGGCTGGTGTCAAACTCCTGACCTCAGGTGATCCACCCGCCTCAGCCTCCCAGAGCGCTGGGATTAGAGGCGTGAGCCACCGTGCCGGCTCTGATGTTTTAAAAATAATTAATTCCGTTTAAAATTGGCCAATGAAAACTGCATTTATCATGTCCAGTATGACGCTGTGGGCAATGCGCAGGGTGGAACGGCTACATCGAGCTAGGTCACGCAGGCATTCCTCCCGTGCTAATCATTTTTTTGTGGTGAGAACACTTAGAATCCCCTCTGTTAGCAATGTCCAGTAATGCAATACCTTGTTGTGAACTGCAGCCACTGTGTGGTACATCATGTCTCTTGAGTTGATTTCTCCTAACTAAAACCTTGTGTACTTTGAGCGACATTCCCAGGCTGATTTTCCCACTGTGAGTGCCCTGGTGTCCCGTCTGCTCAGCTCAGGTAGTTTCTTTTTTTTTTTTAGCCATCAAATTGACAAATATTTTTATTTATTTATTTTTTTCCCATTTATTTATTTTATTGCATTTTAGGTTTTGGGGTACATGTGAAGAACATGCAGAATTGTTGCATAGGAACACACGTGGCAGTGTGATTTGCTGCCTTCCTCCCCATCACCTACATCTGGCATCTCTCCCCTTGCTCTCTCTCCCCAGCTTCCCACCCCCCACCGTCCCTCCCCTATTACCCCCCAACTGACCCCAGTGTGTAGTGCTCCCCTCCCTGTGTCCATGTGTTCTCATTGTTCAACACCTGCCTATGAGTGAGAACATGCGGTGTTTGATCTGCTCTTCTGTCAGTTTGCTGAGAATGATGGTTTCCAGGTTCATCCATGTCCCTACAAAGGACACAAACTCATCGTTTTTGATGGCTGCATAATATTCCATGGTGTATATGTGCCAGTAGAGCAGCTCAGGTAGTTTCTACTCCTCCCTCGCCCCTCTGTCCCCTGTCCTTCACGAGTGACCGTGTCTCCCCATGCTGTGCCTCCCTCCCACCCTCTCTCCCTCTGGAAAGTGGCCCTGGGCTTTGCAGCAGACATGAAGGGCCCCAGGCCGCGCTGACTCTTCCCACGTGACCCTGAGCGAGGCTCAAGCTGTGAGCAAGTCTCAGGGTCCTTAGTGTCCCCTGGGAAAATAACTCTGCAGCGATGAGAATTCACACGCAGGTGGAAGGTGCAGGAGGCGGGAAATGTTCTGAAGTCGGTCTGTGGTCGTGGCTGCATAACCGTATAAATTTGCTAAAAACCCTGAATTGTGAGGCTAAAATGATGTGTGTGACATGGTGACCTCCTGCAGTGGACACTGAGACCCTTCTCTGCTTCCCTCCTAGGGGCCCTGCCCAGACCCTCCATCTCGGCTGAGCCAGACACTGTGATCCCCCCGGGGAGCCCTGTGACCTTCCACTGCTGGGGCCCAGTTGGGGTTCACACATTCCGCCTGGAGAGGGAGAATAGATCCCAGTACAGAGATAATTATGATGTGTCTCTAGTTAGTCCGTTTTTGTCAGGGGCCACATTCCGCATTGACTCAGTGAGTGAAGACAGCGCCGGCCATTATCGCTGCCTCTATTATAAGGCCTCCAGATGGTCTCAGCACAGTGAGCAGCTGGAGCTGGTGGTGAAAGGTAAGGACGCTACCTGGGCCCTGCCCTGGTCTCAGCTCTGCCCGCGAGCTTGTCCCCAGGTCCCTGGACCCTGTCCCAGCTGCTGTCCTCTCTCTGTGGCCACCCTTGCCCTCCTCCTGACTCCCCGGCCCTCCCCTCCCCCTCTCCCTCTGCCCACACCTCCCCTCTGCCCTCACGCCCACTTAGGTCCTGGCACCCTGGTCCCCTCTGGACGCCACAGATGGCCTGGACACTCAGCCCAGCATCGGGTGGGCTCAGAGCTGCCTCTGCTTGGCTGGGTGGGGAGTGGGTTCCCAGAGATTAGGGGGCAGCCCCCCTACAAGGGGCTGTCTTTTCACACGGGATGGATGGTCCTCTTGTTATTCCTCTCCCCTGAGCCGGAACCTGCCCCAGGGAATGTGCTCCACCTGCTGTGGCTCATCTCCCATTGGGCAGAACACAGGGTCCAGGGGTGGCTCCTGACCAGGGCTGGACAGTACTGTGGGAAATCCTCTGGTATGTGACCACACGGACCCCTGGGTGTGCTCAGCCGCACAGATGTCCTGGAGTCAAAGTCCAACCCACTTTCATGTCCCCCCAGGGCCTCAAAGGAGTCCCCTAAGGTCAAGCAGAGCTGGTGGGGCAGGGAGCAGAGGGAGTGACCAGTTCCCGGCAAAATGGGGTAAGGGTTGTTCCCATTAATACTGAGGAAGTATTCTCTCCTCACAGGGACTGTGGCAGACACGGAAGCCTCCGGGTTTGACTTACTATGAATGAGGAGAAATGGCCTCCTGCCTTGTGAACCTCAATGGGGAGAAATAATTGGAATGAGCAATAGAAAATGCACATATGCCTTTACATGCATACACAAATAAACATGTATGATTTGCAATGTGGAATTTCACATCTATTATTTAAATTATATTAAATATGTTTACATCATATATTATGTATATAAGGAACATAATAATTATTATTTCTTCTATTGTTTTATTTTTATTTATTTTTTGAGATGGAATCTCTCTGTGTTGTCCAGGCTGGAGTGCAGTGGTGTTAATCTCGGCTCACTGCAACCTCCACCTCCTGGGTTCACGTAATTCTCCTGCCTCAGCCTCCTGGGTAGCTGGGGTTACAGGCACCCACCACCATGCCTGACTAATTTTTGTATTTTTAGTAGAGACGGGGTTTCACCATGTTGGCCAGGCTGGTCTTGAGCTCCTGACCTTGTGATCTGCCTGCCTTGGCCTCCCAAAGTGCTGGGATTACAGGCTTGAACCACTGCTCCTGGCCGGGAGCCGTTCTTTAAAGGTGCACGTTTCCCCTAATGTCCAAAAAGAAGTTCTATAAAAAATGAGCACTCTGGTGCCGGGTGCATTGCGATGTTGAGAGTGATGGGTCCTACCCATTTCTGGGGCTAATGCTTTCATTAAATTGAATCTTGGAGATGGTGAAGTTGAACAGGCAGGAGCTTGGAGCCAGACATGCACACAGAGGATTGCCATAACCTAGTGTGTTTCAGGCAAATCCCTTCACTAGAATGAGATTATCTTTACCGAGGTCGCCATGACTTCTGCCTTCTAGTTACACCGTGAACACACAGAGATAGAATTTGTGGAACGCCCAGTCCAGCTTCTGCCTCCCAGGAGCAACTCAGAAACTGCTGATCTTACCCCCTTGTGCAAACCCTAAATGGCTTATGTCTCTGTGCAGCGCTGGCTACATTTTCCGTGAGCTGTGCAATCGGAGTTCCAAGGTGGGTTTAATGCTTCGCATTGCCATCCTGATGTTTGAACTTGGGGCCTTCTATTTTCATTTTGCACAGGGTCCCGTGGATGACGTAGGCAATGCAGCAGGTATGATTTTGCATGAGGATTTGTCAGGCTGATTTTAGTTTGTTATCTTTGTGTATGTCTTGCAGAAAATCCTTGAGCCAGGAAACTGAGAGCAGAGCCAAATATCCCAAAATTCAAGGGAAAAGCAGCAGGGCAGGTTGTTGGCTTGATTTACTACAGATTTAAAGTGTGCATTTGAATATTGAATAAATTATCAGGTCTTCCCTCTCTGTCTGTCCATTTACAATTAATACATGCATCCATCCATTCTTCCAACATATAACTGTAAGTATCAGTCCTATTTCATACAATTAACTAAGAATGAAAAATAAAGCATGTGCTTCACTGACACGGATCGTATACTTTGAGCCCTGCCAGTCTAGGGGATGTGATAGATGTCCAGAAATAACTACAGAATAGATAACTATGCACTATGACATTTGTATGTGGAATCACTCCTTGGATATGGGTGATTAGAAAATAGACTGGCACAGCTCTCCTATCTCGGAAAGGGAGTCATGAGGACGTGATGTTTGAGGACCAGGTTAGTGGTCAGGAGCAGGCATACTGAGGGTTGGGAACTCCAGCAGGATGAGAGGGTGTAGACGGCAGTCCCCATTGCAAAGGATCATGGCTACCCAGTGCTGTGGGAGCCTTCCTCGTCCTAGAGTCAGAGCTGGGCTGATTCTCCTTCAGTCCGCCCTGTTTCCCCACAGCGCTCACCTCTTCCATTCCAGGAAGTGTAGGGCTGGCTGTGTGAAAGCCGTGGCACTGTCTCGGCCACGTTTGTCTAGATTGGGGCAGATGATGAGATCATGGTGTCGAAGAACACAGGTTTACAGAATGTGATCCATGAGAACTTCCGACATGGAAATGCCACAGGCAAGGGCAGCCATGTCTGCCCATGAGCTTTCCTGTGGCTCACTGAGGATCAAGGAGGAGGCAGCCGTCCTGAGCATGGTTCAGAACGGAAGGAGCCACTGCTTGATCCTGAAACCACTGCCCGGTGGGGCTGAACCCCATTTCCGAAGTAACCACTGAATCCATGTTGGTGGCCTATATCCCAACTCACATTCAGGGACCCGGTGGGTACAGAAACCCAGAAACACACATTTTAGTTTTTTAGGCTCGCTCTGTCACCCTGGCTGGAGTGTAGTGGTGCAATCTTGGGTCACTGCAACCTCCGTCTCCCGAGTTCAAGCAATTCTCCTGCCTCAGCCTCCCAACTAGCTGGGATTACATGCACACTTATGCGGAGCAGTAATGCCTCATGTGTCACTATGTCAGGCTAATTTTTGAATTTTTAGTAGAGACGGGATTTCACCATAATTTCCAGGGTGGTCTTGAACTCCTGACCTCAGGTGATCTGTCCACCTTGGCCTCCCAAAGTGCTGGGATTACAAGTATGAGCTACCACACCTGGTCTTAAATTCTTCATTGCATGCCCTGTGATGTAGGCACAATGCTTGTGTAGAGGCGTTTTTGTCTTGGGCAGTGGCTTCTTGTCAGATTGGACTCAGGAGATGATGCACAGGCGGGTGGTGATCATGCTTTGAGGGGCCACGTGGCCAACATGTGGAGGAACTGCTGTCACCCATCAGCAGCTACCTTGTTGGAAGCTGAAGGCCACGTGCAGCTTGTGGCTTTCTCTTCCCAAATTCAATCCCACCTCAGTAAGTTGTATGGAAAATAAACATAGGCTATAAACAAACACGTGCCTTTACCAATAACAACAAATAGACTTATGAGTCAACACAGGAAAAGCAAGAATTATTGCCAGTATTCCCCTAAGACCCTGAGTTTTCCATCTTGAAGAAAACCTTCCAATGTCACCATTTATGTTACCATGATAACGCGTTACATGGAATGCAATGCTATTTCTTTATGTATCAGATTTAGTTCAGTTATTATTGACTAAATAATAGATATTGTCTTTTTGACCTCAAATTAATGGAACATCTCTGCACCACAGATCTAAAACTTCCCTTCATTTATTTACAATCATATTTGAAGTTGATTGGTATTCTGGTGTATAGTTTATTTGGTTCAATTTTGTTGCCACATAATCTTGATGTATACGTGCATATTGTACATGTTCAGTACTTGTCAAATTGACTTTTAATGTATGTGTCTACATGAATGACAACACTGTCAAGATTCCTGTGAATATGTCATCATGCAAATGCACGCATTTTCCTCTAGGGCATACAGTTCTGGGTCAGACTTGTGTGTCTCTTTCTTTAAAAAGACAATTCTAAAATAGTACTCAAATGGACGGATGCAATCTGGACTTCTATCCTCAATCTGCAGGAGTTCTAAAATACTTAAAACTTCTTTCAGTTGATAATCGCCATTGTTTTAGGGAAGGTGATTTAGAATTTGTTATCAAATTTCACTGAAATGGTAGCACCACACTGAAGTGTAAATTGTCATATTGTGACCCATTAAATATAAGGAACATGTGCACATTGATGCTCTCAGTGAGGTGCACTGCAGCTGGCTCACACTCACTTGCAAAACACAATTCCATTCTCCACGTTCCAAATCAGCATTCAGGGCATTGGCACGGCCACTTTGAAGCTGGCCATGAAGAGAGTATTTACACCAAATAAAGAGGCAAATACCACAAGACAGAGCTTTTAAATACTATTTTTTCATAGAATTGAGTCACTAGCACACCTGCGGGCTGGCACTTTAAGTGCGCGTTGACATTCAAATGTGTAGTATTTCTGAAGCAATACTATACATTTCTTCCAAGTGTCATCTGATGGAGGGAGATGAGTTTGAGGATTCCCAAGAGGGTTTTAGCAAATTATTATAGACTTCTTAGTTTCAGACTTATTTTCAGCCATTTATTCCATCATGTAAACCATATTCTGTGTCTTGAGCTGAAGAGACAGAGCTCAATAGCACAGATGAGGGAATATCTTAACAGTCAGTGACAATGCATTCCAAGAAGACCAGAGCATGGAGTTTACATTGGTGTGGGTCTGCACCTGCCATGGGTGATGTACCCTCATTTTATAAGGTAAGCAAATCGGAGACAGAAGTCAAGGAAAGTCAATAACAGTAGGAAGGGAAGACATCAGAATTTAATTGAGGAAGAGTTCTGAACTAGAACTCTCAAACATGATGACATTTATTTCAGTCCATATTCTCCGCAGACAGTTCACCCAATGTACGATGACGATTTCCTTCCGAAGCCTTCTGGGGTTATGAGATTTGATTTCAAGTCTCTGTTGTTCTAAATGGTGCATTGTTTTCTATCATTGTCCTCTTCTTCCTGCATTTTGGGTGTTTTTCTTTTTTTCTGACTGTGCATGACTCCAGGAGGAGGACTCCAAGGGCCGAAAGGACCAAGACAGCCATGCCCATCCTGATGAGATTCCCTTCTGTGTAAGCCTGGGGATGTGAGCCTGGGAATTGTGGGCAGAGATGTCACCAAAGCAGTGAAGACCAAAATCATCCTAACGTCCCCGGATGCCCACGCAGGTCACCCGCATTCCCCTGCACAGTCATAACCTTTCAACCTGATCCATAACTGAGAACACCTCTGTATTCAGCAGCCTTGCATTCCGAGGTGTTTTGTAATGATCTCCTGTTATCAGCTGCCCCTGAGAACCGCAGAGAGAGGGGGAACATGAGGAAACCTAGGGGGATTAACTATGCTATTCTCCGATGCTCAGTATGTCTCTTAAATCAGCTAATCACTTGAGAAAAGCATGTCCAGTAGTATACCATTCATAAGATTTAGATGCAGAGAAGAGAATTTGGAGTTGCAGGTTTTCTGAGCAGCAGGAAAATAAAAGACTGGAGTTACCAGTTACCTTTCCTTTGCTTCACCCCAGATATTACTTTCTTATATCTGGCTCAGAATTATGTATTTCCATCCTGCTTTTTATTTATCTATCAACCTGCTTTAATCAAATAAATGGAAAAATATCTGCAATGCATTAAGCGTTTTGTCTCTAGGATCCAAGAATACTTCGATTAATATAAGTAATTGCTTGCAAATATCTACATATATAAGATACACTCTATCAATTTTACAAAAGTAACACCAG